CGGGCCAATATGGCCCACCCAATAGTATTTATTGGGCGCGGGGAGTGAAGAGCGAATGCAAGCCATCATGAAGGCTAATGCCTAAAGTATACAATAACGAACATTGATGACTACGCACTCTCATTGGACACATGCACGAGGTAATACTTCGATCCCCCCTTACCCATGTTGCAAAAGACTCTCTCTCTCTCTCTCTCGATCAAAAGCACCGAATACAGCACCGGTGTGGAGCACCTTTGCGTGGACTCGTCGAGGGTCGCGAATGCCTCCAAAATCTCCAGGACTGCGCCCGGACACCAGAACATGTAGAGTGACCCATGAACCATTCAATCTGCTGTGTTGCATGATGAATCGTTGGACGTCCGTGCTCGGACACATAAAAAACCCAAATCAAGACTGACTTAAGTTGGATTTGAGCACCCGGCCTAGACTCCTAGACTTGCAGCTTCGCAGACTTGCAGGAGCTGCGAATCAGGCAAGCGTCTACATGCTCAATTACGGCACATGTGCCTGAGCAGCCAAGCGCACATTGTTCCACACATAGCCTCAAATGCACATGCTGGACAGGCTGGCGACGTTCTGCTGCAGCTGCAGGGGTAAGTGAAGTCAAGGTTTCGACTCTCACTCTCGCATAAAGCAGGCAAGGCTTTGATTTACAACTCACAACACCATGAAGTGTATCGGCCCCCTCGCGGCTGCAGACCGCAGTCCGATTGCAAGATCTGTGCCAGTCGCAGGAAATCTGATTCGAAAGCCGCTCTCGTCGCATGCCGAGCTGCGCCAGGTAGGAGCAACGCTTAGCCAATCACATCCGCTGCCACGTCGATCGCAAGCCTCTCTTTTTCAACAGCTTTGCGCTTTTCGCTCTCTGTCGCAAGAAGCGACACAGAGCTGCAAAAACCCGATGAGTGCCTACCGTCGGAGTGACAGCATGCCCAACTTGCAAAGTCTTGCAAGTGCCTCCGACCTGAACTACAACCTTGCACCTTGTTACCAACCCGGGATCTCTCGTCTCTCTTGCTAGACTCCAGGTCGCAAGGTTTTGCTTGCTCAAGATGAGAAGCTCCAGAAAGCCTGCAAAAGCGCCCAACCAAAGCAGCTTCAAGAAGCCTTCGGCACAAGGTTGGCAGCCCATGCTGCAGCATCCAGGTGACGAATGGCCTGCTTGAGCTTTCAAGCGCTTGGATTGGGCGCAGAGGCATCGGAGGTTCTCGGCCTCAAGGCCCAAAGCACTCGAAATCTACCTCCCCCCAAACCCCTGTAGCTTTGGGCACTGAATGGCCGGTGCTCCTTGGAACGGTATTCGACACTATTAGAGCGTCTGTTTTGAGCCTCCGTTCTGCCGAGGCGACACGGAAAGCACAAGCCAAAGGCGCCTGCTCTTCGCTCAATTGCAAGCTTGCCCTGTCCTGGAGCACTGCAGATCACGTTACACAGTCGCACGTGCTTGAAAGGTTGCTTCCTGGCTTGTTCTTGTCACAGCTAGAGTACAACATCCCAGCCTGAGCAAAAGCACATGGCCAACGTGTAGATCGACTTCTCCAAGACATCAGGCGAAGCATGCTCGCTGAGCCGCTGGCAACAAAAGCCGACCGGTTGGCAGGCCCATTCCCGCGATTCCGTCTGAAGAGCAAGATGGCTCCCGAGCATTTGCGCGATGTGGTGCTTTGACGAGGAGTGACTCTTCCGGGCAATTTCGGAATCAACTGATGCTGGAGGGAGTTGAACTGGGGCATCCGGTGTAATTTTGCGGTCGTGCTTGCTGGTCGCAACAGCTGAGAAGAGTAAAAATAACAGTAGCTAGAGTTCTGACAGCTCCCTCGGATTCAACAGGTGGCATCAAAACATGCTGCAGGCTCAAGCAGCAAATGGACAACTGAACAAATGTTCTTCGATCTGATGAGGGCAATCAAAGCACGAAGAGTGTTTGGGTCAATCCAACATCTGGCATACAGCATGCCGTGCACAGCATATGTCTTCGTGCGTGTTATCCACATCCACTCCATCTTGAATAAATCCGGATCGGCTTCCAGTCGATCGCATGGGGAACCTCGATATCGCAACATGCTCTATAACCACTTCTCAAAACAGCTGTTGCTTTTCCGCATGTCGCTTCAGATAATATGCGTATACAACTGAATTGATATAGTTATATATACATACATATGCGTTGATGCGTGTAACATCCACCTGCATGCTCTCAACTGCAACACCAGTCTACAAGAAGCAGCAGCATTAAGTTGTCTGAAACTACATTTGTGATTGAACCACTGCGTGCTTCAACGCACGTGCGTCTGTGCGCGCATGTGCGCATGCTCCCAAAAATACAATGTCCAGCCTGCTGCGCGGTAGGAGTGCTATTGCTCCACATGAGGCACAAGGCAAGCTTCCGGATTCGCAGAAGATCGACCCGCCCTGGACGCCAGATGCACTGACTGTAGTTAAAAGTAATCCCCTAGGTGGATGCTTGAAGTTTATGGTATGCACCGGCTTTCCCCACGAGCGCAATCTAAGCATGCGCCACGCGTGTACAAGACGCTGTTTTCAGTCATCCAGTTCGAGCGTCACCCTGCGCACAGCAGGCATGCCTGCTGCAGGTGGGGCTGCGAGCTCAGAAGTGGAATTTCTCTTCGAAGACGAGCCTCAGCCAGCCACATTGCACATGCCATGTCAAGCACCGGCTTCCTGCTTTGAGCCCATCTTAGCTTCGCACGTTGAGGAAGGGCATTTTGCCCCGCACTCAAGCCCAACTCCAAAGGCGCCGAGGGCAACTCCCCCCAAAGCATGTCGGGTGAAGCATGGCTTGGTGGCGGTGGTGGCTTCCAGGACGGTACTTGGGATGCTCCCTGCTGAACATCTCGTCTGCCTGGCTCTGGCAAAGGCGGGGGCGGTTCGTCTGCAAACGTGGGCCCAAAGCTGTCGGGCTCACTGGCACAAGCAGGAGGTCTTTCCGTCTGCACTCGTGGCTCTGCTGGCCTCCCTGGTGCATCGAGAGGTTTTGAGCGGTGCGCCCGCTCAGCTTGTCGACGTGCATCCCGCGACATGGACAGCCTTTCAATCAAATTGGCAACTTTGGGGGGTAGAGATGCTGGTGTCTGCTTCAACTCCACGTGAAGGGCTGTGTCCTCTGCATCCTTCGTAACGCTGGGCAGACTGGGGAAGCTGGGGCCGCTGGGGACCACGGGACTCACCAGAGGATTCTCCAGGTCATCCGGCTCCGCGCTGGGAGGCAAAACTGGAGCGAAGCTTGGGCTCTCACTCGCCTGCGTTTCCTCCGCTACCTCTGGTAAGGCCAACCGAGGAGGTTGAGGCGGATCTGGGACTGCAAACCTTGCTCGCTCTTCCCGGATTTGCTTCCAAATAAGGGCTTCTAAAGAAAGCTCTGCATCCACGATGTCATCTGCGGAGTGCCTCTCTCCAGTGTCACCATTTTGATCTGTACGTGCAAGCTGTGTCAGCAGGTCCACGGTATCTTGAGCCTGCCTCCTCTTTGACCAAACGCGGTGAAGCTTCTCAGTGTCTGCAGAGATGCGGTCTCGGAGCTGTCGCCGCTGTTTGTCGCTTTGGCACAACTGTTTATGAAGAGCTGCAGCCGTTGTTGACATGTCCCCCTCACCGTGTCCGGTTGCCTCAAGCAGCTTTGTCCACAGCTCCTCCCGCCGATGGCCTGCCGCCAGGTCAACCTCACTTTGCCGTTCCTTCAGCTTCTGTGCCCTAGCCCGGATGGTCTTGATCTTGTCGCGGGCTTGTCGCACCTCCTGTGACAACGCATCCCAGCGTCGAGTGCAAGAAGCCTCCCAACGCTGCATTTCCGCGATGGCTCGTTCAGCCCTTATCAGGACCTGCAAAATATCCATCGACTCTTTTCGGCTGAGCGTCTCTTTGCAACTAACGGTATCCCGCCAGGAAGCCAGTTGTTGCAAAGTACGAAACTCCGACGGAGCCGAGTTGTCTGGACTTCCCGGATCTTCTACTGGGGCTAAGCATGCGAAATCAGCCAGCCTGTTGCGCAAACTCGACGCATGTATCGTGCTTTCCTGCAGCTGCATGCTCTGCTCACCCGCAAAGTCGAAGCTTGACCTGTCTTGGACTGGCAGGATCGCTTTGGATATGCCAGCCTTGGTCAAGTGCTCTGCCTGTCCCAGCAGGGCAGCTAAGCGACCAGCCGGATGGTGCGTTGCGTGCTGCAAGGGTCTCGCAAGGCCGGCATACATACTTTCGAGGTTACCCACAGCCTTCTCAACTGCAGGCAGGACGATGTCAAAAACCTGCTTGTTCTTGGTGCTTGTCATCGCAGCGGCCGGTGCGCAAACTCATGCTTGTTTTCAGCTTGAGCCGACACCTGCAAGCCGAGTAGGCTCTCTCGAACGTCCATGACGCTGACGCTCAGCAAACTTTTGCAGATGTTCGTATTGAAGCTTCAGCAAGCAGCGCTCCGAACTTCCCGAATATCGTGTAATAGCGAAGCAAGTCTATGACAACTTTCAATAACGGGCACGAGCGCGTCGATTTTCTGCCTGACAGTCACGAAATCATGCCGAATGTGCCAGAAACCTAAAGCTGCTCCAAGTCGGGGCGGGTGAAACTCGGCGGCAGCTGAGCCTGCAGACTCTATGTCCCTGCCGAGAGCACGAGATCGCTCAGGGAGAGTCTCTGGTGATTTGGGCAGCCAGGGAATCTGCTCAAGCAGAGTCTCGAGATCCGGAAGCCTGCGAGCCCGATCCTGCACAAAGCTGCCAGTGTCTCGTTCTTGCCGAGTGATAAAACAGACTTCCATGAAAGCCGATCGCCAATCGATATCAACCCCAGAGCATTTTGGCCTACGTAGCGTGGCCCTTTGATACTCACCTGGGCCCGACTTGGGCCCTTGCCGATTTGTCGTCCTTGTGATCTGGCCTCTGCTAGAGCTTCCCAAGTGTCGCAGCTAGCTCAGCACTTCTGAGATTGCAACACTGCCCTGGGAGGATCTCTTCTCCTCCGGGGGTCGGCCTCAGTAAGATGGGCTCCCCTGATGCAGAAGCGAATGCCGCACCTTCCGATCACTTTTGACAGCCTGCCCGATGCGCTAGGCAACCAGCTGGAATACTTCCGCCAGGCATCCATACAGTGACTGGGCACAAAGCAAGTGGATGCAAATGGTAAGTGTGTGTGGGGTGAGCTGAGCTAGGCGGATTCCTGCGAGACATCGTGCAAGGCACTCGGTCCAAACTCATTTGTCAGGTCTCGCTGCGCAACCATGAGTCAGAAACGATTGGCTTTAATGTGAACGAATAAGTCCACGGCCCATGCCCGGGGCTCACAAGAAACTGATTGGCCGTGGCCCAAAGTCTGGAGCCCCCCTCACCCACTCCGCCCACTCCGGCATGAGCTGTGTCTAGGTGAACGTTCACTGCTCTTGAGCTCAAAGCCTGCCTCGCTGGCAGCTTGTGGCGGTGGGAATTTCGCTCTAGCTCTTCCTGGGTCCACCGCGATGCGGACAGTTGTGCTCCACGTGTGCAAGCAGGACGCTTCTCGGATGCAGCATCTTCGGGTTTGTCCTGCTGCGCTTCACCATCGCCGCAGGAATAGGTCAACATCAAGCCATGGCCAAATGAACCATCAGTGAAAGCTGCCCAGCGGACATCCGCCTTTCCTCCGTTCTCACTGGGGACAATGTAGTCCACATGCTGAGTGTCGACGTCGCTTCTATGGACGGCCCAATCTGAAGCGCGCTTGCGGTCCGGATAGCTCTCTCCCGGGCCACATCCCAGCCAAGTCATTGTTGAGAGCTTTGCCGAAAGAGCAAAGTCTACCCCAACTCGGGGAAGAGTCGCCAAACCAGTCAAGGGTCCGACTGGTGTCACGGTCACTGACACCACTACTCGATGTGCCTCGAACACATACTGGAAGCATGTTTCAAGAAGGAGCTGGCCAAGTGCACTGAAGTTTTCCCGTACGCGAAGCTTTGGACCTTCGGCGGAACTGCTCCACTCACCTGGCAAAGACATCCTGCAATTCAAGTCTGTCATAAGACAGTGCTGGAGCAACTCCCAGATGTTGACGAGGTGCATTCGTTCACAGATGCTGTTAGCCGATCCAGCCCGACGATTTTCCACCTTGACGTGCCATGGCATGCACATGAAGACAACAGTTCAGCAAGCAGATTCTTAAGCCGCCGGCGATGCCGCAAGAGACAAGAAACCGTAACAATCCAAGAAGTGCCTGACGAGTGGTACCTCCCAGAGTATCGCATGATGATGTCATGGCTGCCAGGCCGCGAACCAAGGCCCAACCAAGGCCCCGCGTTTTCATTTTAACAACTGACTACTCGCGGCCGGCTTTCCCTAGCTTGGATATGGCATCCGGGCCTTGATCAGCCACGGAACGAAAAAATCCGTACCACAGCGATCATTGTCCTTGCTCGTGGAAAGCAGCTCTAGCTGTCCATAATGTCCATTACACTACCACTGCTGACAACTAGCCGCAACTAGCCCTTCGTTCTGAGGATTTGCCGAACATCCGCTGTGGTGGTCAGTCGGAACCGCCGGACTCAGGCTCCGTGATTGACAAACTGCCGCAGCCAAGTGTCTGTCGTTGCACGCGTGAAGCTGTGCTGCAAGCCAGGCTTGGCGAGCAACTCCAGCCCGTCAGTGCCACACAAGGATGTCCTGAGAACGGCACAAGGCGGAGTCAGTGTGGTCCACAAACATGTATGTCTTGATGCTGGGGCCGTAGCAGAGTGCCCCCTTGGAATCTTGCCGTGTATGTAGCTGCTTTGATCACGGACTTCTCTCCACTTCTGTCCAAGGTTGCTGGACCCGCTGCAGGCATGTGCAAAAGTGGGGGCAAAGAACCTGCCGCCGATGGTGACGGGTCGAGCGGGTTTGGACAACAGCATGCCGAATCCTGGCTAGGCCAGCGGGCCGCAGCCTTTATTTTGTTCTGAAGCAAAACCCCCAAGAGAGGCCAGTGCCTGAACAAAGCATGCCACCAGCGGGCAGCTTGCTGGTTTCCGACTTGGGCACATCCACTGTAAAGCAAACGTCCGCGATTACGAACCTAGGTTCTGTACGGTCTGCAACTACAGGAGGCAAACTGCCTGCATCAGAATCAGCCCCACAAACCAGAGCAGCTAGGCAGCTTCTCAGGTATCGTTTGTGATCTGTCCGTCTGGCAAGCCTGTAGAAGTAGCCACTGACCACATTGCTGAAGTTCAGGGCTTGCCGTCTTCATCACAATCTCAAGCTCCCGTGATTCTCCTTCATGCAAAGGTTACATCTGGCTTCAGAACGTGTCTACAATGGCAAGCTGTGCGAGCTGCTCTTCCCAACACTCCTGGACTTATACCTCGCATGTCTGCATCCCCGCGGATGGTGCACAAGCACTTCTCTCCGAGCGCATCAGAAGCAAGCCTCGGATTGGTTTTGTGTACAGAACTAGGGGCTCTCCGTCGTCCCAAGTGCTGAAAGCTAGTCTGAGGCATGTTATGGCTTGTTGCACCCTGGTTGCGCGGAAAAGGACAAGTGTCCGAGATCTCGGAAGGTGTACCGATTCTTGACCTTGCTGAAGAACATGGACTCTCTCAACCCGAGCTGTCAAGCTGTAAAGCTGGAAGGATCTTCTGAGCAGTCGATCACAACTGACCTTAGACTGATCTGCTCTGTGTTCTTCGTGTGCACCGAGACTCGGGCATTCACCCGGACAAGCCGACCCTCGGAACAGTCCTCTTGCGATTTGAGCTGGAACTCGACAGGTTGCTGCAGCCTTTTGAAGTCCTCTCGATCTCAAGCAAAGTCTCTCTTGACACACTAGACCTAGGAAATCACCCGGCAATGGCACCCAGCCCAAAACTCTATCAAAACCCAGATCGTTCTGGAGCATCCTGGTAAGCTGGATGTGGTGTGCGATCGGGGAATAGGATCCCATCCACAATAAAGTTGCGATCTTGTCGCCCACTCTCCCTTCCGAAGTCTCCACCGTAGGCATATTCGCCTGACTGTCCGTCTGCCGGTGTTTCTCTTGAATGTCCACTGTGCTAGGACACGGGCCTTCAAGCCAGGCTTCTCGCTGGTGCTTCCCCTTCACATCCGGGTCCAGGATCTGAGCTTTGTGCACCTGCCGTGCTGCTGGCGAAGGTGCAGTATTCCACAGAGTAAACCCCATCCCCACAATCAAGTCACTAAGTCACTAAGTGACAGGTGCGTAGTTACAATGCAAAGGTCGTCGTCGTCGTCGTCGTCATGAAGCTATGAGCAATGAGCAATAATCATGGCGAATAGCTTCCGTATCTGCAGACAGCTGGATGTCTATATGTGTTTCATGTGCAGCCATGCTTTGCTCAACTTTAACTCAGTGGCGAGCCCACACTCATGCCCACGCCCGAGTGTTGCAGTGAGCGCACACCCAGATGATGGCGCCTTCACCGCTCCATCTGCCCATTCCCATACAAATCCACCCTGTATGCATCGATGCTCCTTATTTCAGAGGAGCTGAGCCTGAAGCCAACACTCAATGAAGGCGTCCATAGCAGATGCAGCATTAGCCATGCGTCAGGTGCGGAAGACCAAAACAGGTCCCAGTAGGAGTGCAGGGATCCGTTGGAGTTGCCGAGGGCATGACTGTATTCGCAAAGTATGACCTGGTCGAGCTCTTTGCGTCATACTTCGCAGACATGGCACATTGGAGCCCACATATGGTCACTGACATGCAAGACGACGCGAGGTCTGGCCAAAGGGGCCCTGCAGCCGGTTTACAGGCCGAGTTCTGCTGGCTGCCGGAGGCAGGATCATCGGTGGTGACCAATACCTGAGCAGTCCAGAGTCTAGGCCTAACCCGCCACACCATTATCCATGCTCTTAACTTGATGTCTGCTTGAGCAAACGACCTATGAATGGCAGCTTGGTAGCATGGGGCAGATGATGTCACTTGATGCACCTGGCCATGAACAAGTCTCAGAGGGGAGGATTGCCAGTCAGGCCCCTGCACCTTGTCCATCTCCGAAGAATATAACAGCATCAGTGCCACAAGTTGCCCCTTCGTATTGGACCGGACGTTGTTGGGGATCCCATCGGTGCAATGACTTAACGCCCGCGGCGAAATTCGGCCCCCAACCGCTCTCGTTTCCGAGTGACCAGACGATGACACAGGTATGATTCTTCGCCCGCTGGAACATGTTGAAGAAGCGATGCAGAAACTGCTGTCTCCAGGCCTGCTCGAAGGTTTTCAGGGCCTAAAGCCGGTTCTGGTGTGGCCAGGAAGGATGACTGCACTTAGAAAGACATGTGGGCAGCCTGGTCACAAGCAAGAAGTGAAATGGCCAAGTTCTCGACAAAGCCATGTGTTTCAATATTGGCTTCGTCAACCACGTAGAGCCCATGTTCGTCGCAGAGTTCATACCATCTGGGATGATGCGGGTAGTGGCTGTTTCGAACGGCATTGAAGTTGCCTCGCTTCCTTGGACACGTGGAATTACATGGCTCTTTCGTCAAGCTGTCCCAGATTGTGCAACTGAGCCTCAACATTTCTATGTCCTTAAGCATGTCGTCAGTGCTGATCGCCTTCCCTCTCGTCGGGTGCATCTCGTGCACATTCGCACCTGCAACCACGATCGGGCGGTCGTTCACACAGAGCTGTCCATCCACGATGGCAACTGTACCTGTGCTAAGCAAGCCACCGATTTAGTCCGCGACAGGCGCTAACATGACCACTTGCCGAAGCTTTGCAGAAGGATATGCAACCGGGGTGCGGAAACCAATGCGCAAACGCTCAGCCTGGATCGTAGTGTCAGACGCCTCCGTGAGCTCCAGCTGCAGAGTGTACAGGAAGGGATCCTGTCGGGTCAGCCAGGGACCTCTGATCCGTACCTGCTGACCCTGTGCATGACTTCCTCGTTTAAACTTTCAGGCTCAATCTGTAGCTTCTGCATGCCGGCAAGACAGTTCGGATGTGGGTGATTCCCGATTCGACCTGGGTGGTGGCCGCCCCTCGGTCTTTGTGAAGACAAGCAGCTACCGACTTCTGTAAACTATCTGCTGGCAGTAAGGAGAGCTTGTTAGATGTGGATGGTGCCTCCGCGCTCCACTTTCGCACTCCCGGAACGCGTAATTCTGCCTCCACACCTGCCAAGGCTGCGTCTCAAACATGAACTCAAGGACTCAGTGCATCCTCTGGCACATCGACCTATGATCGTTTTTGGAACCTGCGACCTTGCGAGGCTACTCTGCAGTCCTACCTTCCTGCTGTGGCTGCAGCCTGCAGTTCCCGGACAGCGAAGGGATCCCAACTCACACGTTCTAGTGCACACATTGCACGCTCGTTCTTGCATTGTGGGATCGCGGATGCTTTGACGATCCATCACTCTGAGAGACAAGGTCAGGGAGGGAAAGGAATTCAACTCACACGTTCCAGTACACACTCGCTCGCGCAGTCGGAAGGTCTCGGATGACGTGAGAACAGTCAAACTCACAGAGAGAGATCGAGAGAGCGAGCTTCGATACAGATTACAGTAAATGGTTACAGGCGGACCCGAGGAATATTACGATTACAGCTCTGGAGCCTTTCTCGAATGAGTCGTACTTCGTGACTGTTTTCGGGGAGTTCATAACAACCACCTTCTTCCGCAAGGGAACACATGGGTTCAATCATGTAGAGTCAGTCGAGCAAGTCCCGCATGCGAGGAAAACTCCAACCCACAACAATCACTGGTTCCCCCAAGGAAGGCTTGCATCACCGCATGGAGCCTTTCACATCATCGGCAAGTTTGAAGCCTGGTAGCAAAGTCTAGAGGTTCGGGATTCGTGGGCAAGGAAACCAACAAACACGTCTTCATGTTGGACTGTTTTTCCCAACCCTCGGCCTTTAAAGCGACCCCAGAAGGGTCTCCAAACTTGGCCCCAAGTCTACCGGAGTCTTGCCTAGTTCAAGCTAGTCTTTGTATTTCAATTGGCTTTTGTACTGGGGCGGGGTTTCATAGTAGTATGAAGGGATTACGACACTGGAAACATAACAGTAACAAGGTACAGTAACTGCAGAACAAGACAAGACCATACCAGAAGTGTTCTGAAATGTCTGCTGAAGTCGACCGAAAAAGAAACAGATGACTGGAAGCCCGTTAAGGATCTAGGAATCTAGGTAGCTCATGATTCCAGTTACAGTGCGATGGCAAGGAAAGTCGAATGCTGGGTGCGGCACACCAACCAGGCCCATCATCCATGGAGTCAGTTTTGGTAGGTGCAGTGGCCCGCGCTGCTGCCAGGATCTCAGAACGTTCTCCATACAGTGTGACCTTTAGCACCTTGTTGCCGACGGCTGTCCCAGTAAGCTGGCATTGAACCTGCAGAATTCCATCGTCATCTTCGTTGAAGAATGTTCGAGTCTGATAGTCCTGGGGCGGACAGCATTCTTGGATAGGGTCAATGTGCCTCTGCTGGGAACTAGTTCGATTGAGACTCTGCAATTCGACAGGCTTCGGGGACCTTGTCGTGCCGAAAGCTCGGATCACAGAAGCAGCACCAGAGCTCACTGGAAACTCGAGCAATTAGCAATTCAGCCAAGGCACGAAATGCAACTCAACTTCACGATGGATGCCAAAAAGCCACCATTGATCCTGATCCTGACCCGCAGCGGTCTTATTCCGCGAAGGCTCAATTGCTCTGCAGATTTCTGCGGGGCGCATGACGCGAGACTCCCCGAGTCCTCCAAGTACGATCCATCGCACCAGCTTGGCACCATGGCCACGAGAACCTCTGCTATCAGTGTCGGGCTCAGAACAGAATTGACCGCAAACCCTGCTGCTCCAAGTGGCATGCTCAGTGCGGTCTGGCAAGTGCTGCTCTGACAATAGAGCAGCTGTAGCTGAGGTGCCTCGTGAAAGCGGCTTTGGTCGCCGCCGTCCGATTTGTCACGTATGCACTGATACTGCTGGTTCGAGCAACACTAGTTCGGCTGTCTAAATCTATTCCGGACACCCTCTCGGCCTTGTTTATCGACCGCCTGCTGGCTGCCGATAAGTGCATCCGTAATGTCAAACTCGGCAGCAGTCATGGAATCCTGTGAATATCCAATATACCTGGCAAAGTCTATGCTGCCATGACAGGGGCTAGATGCAAAGGGAGTTGGGCGCATCTAAAACTGAGTCATACTCAGTATTGAAAGCACGTACCAGTACTGGCTGGGGTCTCAATGTCTGCCTTGCTGTCGCTTCCGAGTGGCTGGCCATCCACCCACACCATCACCGCAGAGCCAACAGCATGGAAGACGAGGTGGACACGTCGACCCTGCAGATTTTCCATGGGAACGTTGAACGTTGTCCGATAAAGACCTCCGGGTGGAAGAAACATCTGTTGCCCCACTCTGATGGCATGTTGTGTCCGCACACGAGAACCAGTACATTGATCAGACCTGTCCCAGCCTGTAGGATTGTCGTGCGACACATAGGGTGCCATCAAAGCGGGCACCGGGGTGAAGGGGAAGGTGATGTTCGTGTAGATGGGAACTGACATGCCCAGCATCCTTGGCTAGCGAGATGCTGCCGCGGCTCAGCAACTTTTTTCTGCATCCTTCGGGATGCTGAACCACAGAAGCTTGATCGAAGAGGCTGCCAATTTGACGGGATGGGGACTTCGTTCCACTGGCTGTCGTCGAAAGATAATTCCCTCGCTTGGGCATAGGCCTCGCGGCGAGGCAACAAGCAAACAACGAGACACCTGCGTTCACAGAGCCGGCGCATAAATCACTGGTCACTGTTTGGGGCTTTTCGGCTGGCCTCTGCAGAATGCGGATTTCGGAAGAGCTGCAGGCGCCACGGCTTGTCACCGAGATCCTGGATGAACGTCGACCTCTGGCCATCCGCAGCCTTCGTTACATCCGCAGGTGTGATGCAACCACCCTTGTTCCTCGGTGTGGCTGAAGTGCCGAAAAGAGGCTTTGGCATCAGGGAAGTAGCGCAGTGGCGCATGTGCACGCCTTGGATGTTGCGGGGAGCTCCATGCACCCGACAGAAATGCTTCCTCAGTGCATTCTGTGGAGACTAAACTGGTAGGATCCCGGCAGCTTCCTTGGCTTGAGCAGGCATAGCTCACGAAGCGCACAAGCTGGCAAATCTGCTGTCGGGAGTCCGATGGGCAAACACTGCAGGATCCTCCCAAGCACGCCGGCGACAACAACGTCGTGGAAGCCAAATGATTTGTTTCAGAAGGTTAACCTCAGGCTCGGCTGCAGCTCTGGCTCAAAAACGCAGACAAGCTGTCTGCATCAAAGGAAATAATGAACAGCAGAGTAAGAGTCTTGCAAGCAACACCCTTCCGGGGCTCTCACCAAACGTAAGATGTTGGACTTTCAAGCATTCCTACCAAACAGTACCAGGGCACGGCCTGGAGCAATAGCAGTCGCCATCTCCACGCATTCCACTGGCAGAACCCCAAAAATCCCACGGCAATAATTGCACCAAAGACTATGGAATTCATCCTCGGCGACACCGACAAGTTCGCGATTCAGGAAGCTTGCTAACTCTCAGCTCGCACACTGAAAACGTGGCCACTGCATGCAACCACGCTTGCTTTCGAGTGTCAACTCATTCATGAAGGCGACGCAGCACGAATGCTCTGCCACATTTATCAAAGGTCTCCGAAGTTTATTCAGCGGTGGTTCTGAGAAGTCTTTCTTAACTGCGGGTCACCATTTTGCCTTAATAAGCAGTTTATATCACACACTGAACCGACGCCCGAAACGGAAAGCATGGACATAGCAGCTTTCACTGAGTCACTGAACCTTGTCTGGAAGTATTGCATGGTGCGCCATGATGTAAAGCCCCAGTCCTTTGAAGCATCGAGATGTTACACGCGTGAACTCTCGCGGCCGCGGCTCATGAAGACACAGCGTACATGAATTTGCAACTCGGCCGCTGCACAAGCCGACAGCAGGCGACAGCAGATGTCAAATCAAAGTGCATAAGACTATATAAGATTATCACCGACATAAGTGCTGCAGGAGCAGATTCACCGTAGAAGGATTCTTGGTCCTAGCTACTCGCTGCTTTCAACACAACTACGCACACAGTCAGACAGCACTCTGAGATAACGACTCGTAGCCAAGGCCCAATCCCACCAGCACCGCCGAGACAGTCAGCAGGAAGGTGTTCAGCCCCCTACTGTAAAGGTCATGCCGCAAGCCCTGCAGACTGCATGGCTTAGGCATGCTTGGGGCTGAACCCATAGTGGTCCGGCGCACCCTTGGCGCCGGAGGGCCTGCAAGAGCCGGAAGTCAGGAACATCAAAAAATCCATGCAGCATCTCCCTGCACCATGCCTTCCCGGACCACCGGCGATTGTTTGCACTGCGGCCTGGCTGCTGACGGATTCTGGCCCAGCGATGACATCCTCTGCACAGTCGCGACTTCAAACAGCACCGTTGTTGACACCAGGCCTGAGACATGTACCGACAGCGTGCAGCCGCAAACTCTTCTTCTGTTTTGCAGCGAACAGGAAAGCCATATGACAAGTTCAGAAATGAAGTATACGCATGCACCAAGGTCAGTCACACGAGCGCACATTGACTTTCGCACGCAAAAAACCGGGCAATAGGCAGACAGAAATGCCTACACGGCCCGAACAGCTCAACTGCTCGCATGAAGCCTGGCACAAGCCATGCCTTCCACCATGCAGACCATGACTTAAAGGCACGCAGCTCTAATTGAAACATTGTGCTTGTCATGCCACTTCAGGCGAAAGCACCACAAACTGCCTGTAGAACGCTGTAATTGTTCTTCTTCTCCCGGTGGGCTCTAGCTAAACAGGCAGCCTCCTAAGGAAGAGCTTACAAGCTTGGGGTGACTTGTTGCTACTTCGACGTTGCACGTGACGTACTCCCGCTTCCTGTTGCCCGCTGCGACTGGCTGGCAGGTTGACAAGAGAGCAGCATGTTGCCAACTACGATTTCCCTTCACAAGGACCAGCTGTTTCGATTGTTGTGGAGGTGCTGAACGTAGACAAATCTGCGTCGGGCAGAAGCTCGCTTGCCGCTGGCAAGTGCACTGCGTCACATCACTCCCGGAAAGCTCGGTCACCTTCAGCGGCCCGCACTGCTGATGGATCAAGGGGTCTCTGTCCGTAATCTCTGGCTGGTTACCTCACCCCCAAGCATCGGGTTCCAAAGCACCATGTTTCGCCTGTTTTGTCGAGATCTGTCGCGTTGAGTGCCTTCTGTCCATCTGTCACATTCGACTCATTTCGAGGTTCTATTACATTGTGTGGCTTCACTTCGGTCGAACCAAGATCTTTCGCAGTATGTGTCAAGACAGACAGAGAGAGAGAGAGAGAGAGAGAGAGAGCCAGGGAGGGAGAGAGGGAGGGAGAGAGAGAGAGCCCCTGCGAGTCCGCGCTCTGCGGTAAAAACTTGGCAAAGCTGCTCCCGTCGCTCGTTACTTAAGTGACCATGTTGGTCCTGATTCACCTCCGGAGGGGGCGGCTCTGGTGGTGTTGATGCTGCAGGCTTCGCTGCTGCTGCAGCTCGGGCGTCTGGTGCAGGGCCAGGTGCATCGCCCTGAACTTTCGGAGCTGGGGCGGCACCCACCGCCTGCCTGAGGATTTCAGACTACATAGTTGATGTTGGTGCACATGCTCAGGTGCCATGAACCGTCTTAGGGCTCCCACGCAGGCGCACCTTGCGCTTGGAAGGATGTCAGCTTCGACGCTGCAATTGTGCGTCGGCTCTCGTGATAGAGAAAGTCATGTTCAGCAACCGTCTGGGCGAGCAAGCCGCGAGGCATCACCTCGACTCGACAACCGTTGGCTACCCGCCCCCAAGTGTGCAATACCCCAGCTTGACAAGCCTCTCGGCAGCTCAAAAAGAGCAAGCGCTCGAAGCGGCTGCAACGAATACAACTGTGTCGTGCTGTCTCTGAATGCGAGAGGTGTGTAACTTCAGTCTGCGTCTTCATATCCTGGCCCTGGCTTGTTTCTGCGGCTTCCTGGCCTAACTGATACGATGTCACTGCATGATCTCACTCAGATAGTAGCGCAGGATGGCAGGCACGAACAATCTGTGCAAGACGTGTAGAAATGCTGGATGGCCCTTGCGCAGCAGCCGAAGCAAGTCAGGACCGGCCTTTTTTTTCCGAGGTCAAGGAAGGTCTGGTACTGAACTAGGAACTAGCTACTCTACGGAATATCTACGGGCACCTTTCGTTTGAAAGATGCTGCAGCACAGCGGACACACTCTCGCACTTCAGCAGTACTGTTTCTGCCAGAACCACATTGCTGAAACTCTTGTCCCTGTTAATAGAATGGTACGATCAAAAATAATCCGGCGCGGCTTCTACAATAACCAGGTGCACGTAAGTACATGCAAAGCTCAGGATTGGCGGCAGCCTTTCTCTTTTTGAGCTTCTTTGAGAACCTGCCAAAAGTTGGGGCTTCTCAATTCTGAATCTCGTACGTTTCACAGTCAGGCAAGTAAGGCCGGAGCAGGCCCAGTTTCCGAACACTGCTAGAACTGAAGCATCCCACAAGTTGCCGGCAGTTTTGAGTCACCCCCGTCATTTTGCCTTCGTCTCTTGCGACATCAGCGTCAAATCTGCACCCCAGTCCCCACTTCACTTATCGAGCCGACAACCCTTTCTGCATGGAGCCAATAAGCTCTACTGAGGCCTACAGTAGCTGCCCATCTCCTGTATCCACCCCAGCCAGCCTGAACGAGCTCAGGGTTGTGAGTGCTCGCAAGGTCCTGTCCCTTGACTTTAGAGACCTCAGCCGATGGCTCGGTGCGTGTGGCACGTGAGGCAACCCTTCTCTCCTCTCTTATGTCGTCCGTGCATCCGGCATCATATGCAGACAGCGACCTCAGCTTTAGCCATACATGCGCCAGCAGGCGGTCTATAGCAAAGGCGAAGAACAATCTTGCTGGGCAATGCTGGGCACCGCGGCCCATGGTTCTTGACCTCGGGATCAGCTCCGTTCCTGCAAAAAACGGTACACATCTCCCGGATGTCCGGCATATCCCGGATCGTTCCAGTTCGTGCGCCTGAGGAGAATCAAGGCGCAGTCCAGATTTCCGGTGTAGCTCGCCGCCTCGACTAAACCATGCACCATCTTGCAAAGTAGCCAGGCATCAATGCGCAACCTTACTCCAGAACTGAGCCATGCACATGAAGCGGAGTGTTGCCGTCAATGTCCTTCCACAGGCCACGCCCCAAGCAAAGCAGCGATGGCACATTCTGTTGCAATCGAGTGTTGAACCCAATGGCCGTTCAGTAAACCTCGAACCGAGCACCAACACTGAGCACAAGGGCGACTAACTTCAGATATCTGGCGAAGCTCGTGCCGACCCGATCAAGCACATGTCAGGTCCTGGGCATCTATCAATTGTGGCACAGTCTGGACGAACAGCTGTGTCACCTACCACAAACAAAAACCGCCAAACTCCGTCAAGCAGTAGCATGAGCGCCTCTGTATGCCCGGAAGTGCATGCCTCAGACTGCAGTGAATAGACTGTGCGATTCACCCAAGCAGGAAGATATATTCTTGTGGGTGTTGCGTACTTTTAACACACGCGGTCAACACAAGCTCCGCACCAGATGCAGCCCACTTTCCCATCGGGATGTTAAGGCCTCAGCAGCCAAAGGATCCACCAAGTCCTCCATGTTCGACACACACGGACAGGTCACCCCAGGTCATGTCCAAGGTCGGTGCGCTAGGGTTTGCTTTCATTTCCATGAGCAACTGAACCTGCGATACCCACAGCACTTGCAACAAGTGGCATATGAAGGGGCCACGCTGCTTGTGCTGCGCTTGCCCTCAGGTGCGGACACACCGTATGCAACCAGTTGAACCTGCGACTTCCAGCGATGTGAACGATGGTACACCCAAATCGGGGCTTGAACACAGTCCTGAACCTAGACTGCTATCACTAGCCAGGTGATTATGGATGTTGCCTGATCTCACGTGAATTACTGCAACAAAGGCGCACACGAGAAGAAATTAAAGCTTCTGTCTTGGAGTCTTGAACACAAGGCTCTGGCAAGCCAGGTGCATGGGGGACATTCCCTTCAAGTTGCGAACCTGACAGGCACAAGTCTATGCAAAAGCACCTTCACGCCGTGCTTCTTTGCAAGCGGCCTCCACGTTGGCAGAGACAGTGAGAAGACACTCCAGAATTTGTCGCTTGACCGTGTCTCGGCCACCCTCCTGCACACATGGACTATCTCGCCTGCTGCGCTCTGTCTAGTGCCAGCTATCGCTGAAAATCTGTTTTACCTTTCGAGATGGCCTGCCTTGGCCAGAGCTAAGTGCATGGCCCTCAGGCGGAAACAGCTGTAAGCGTCATTAAGTGTCAGCATAAAGCACGACACAACCGGAGAATCACAGCCTAAGACAGGTGCGTGTTCGCCTGAACATCCAGCAAGTGTGGGTCAGCACCGAACAGGCAGAGCACCTCACAAAACCGAGCGCTGCAATTCGACTTCCTTTTTGTGAGGAGCCCGACCTCTACGAGCTCGGGCAGCTGATTCTCACATGCAAAGTGGAGAGCAGACTTCCCCGCCAAAGTTTGGCAGTCTATGTTTGCTCCTGCCACTTCTCAACGATGTGCGCAGATGTGAGAGGTAAAGAAGCTGCACTGACCGCGGCTCCGTATTCTAGGAGAAGGTTGGCGATCCCTCGCCAGTTGCTTTTTCTCAGGCACACCTCGGAGTTAGTCAGTTACTCCAGGCAGAGGCCAAGGGGGAGAGAAAAGCCTGTTGAACAGTGGTTAGCATGGACAGGTGCACATTCAGTTAACGGACTGGAAACCTAAATTCGAGTAGCATCCGGGTCATCATCATGCAAATCAGTATTGAGATCCGGGCATAATGCAAAGGCGCCGCCCCAATGTAGTTTACAGTGTTGGGGTTGGCCTTAAGCAAAACACAACTTCAGAAGCTCTTCGCCGGAACGTGCATACACCGAAGCACTGGTGCACTGTGTCTTGCGGCCATATTCTCCAGCAGGCATGACACCGTTGCAACTTCATTTCTTGGTGCCTGCTTAGAGGCCAGTGTGCAACACGAGACAAAAAGGAAAGCGAACTTCGGCAAATCGCCTCCACGGCAACATGCAACGGAGTATTCCCTTCGATGTCGACCTACAGATAGTGGTGCGCCACATACCCAAAAACAGGACGTGTCACAGGCCAGCACCTCCTCCACTGATGCACCTGCTTTGCTCGGCAGCAACATGACACATGGGTGCGGCTGCATCCCAAATTGGCCTCCACTGAGGATGGCATGTTCGATTCCCGATCTGTCTCCCTGCACTTGCTTGGGAACGAAGAGGACTAGCTTACTAGGCACAAGGGCTTAGATCAGTTTTGCATGTGTGTGGGTTGGATTGTGCATCCAGGTGGTTAAATAGCGGCGACGTGGCACAGGGACATGCGCCCCTTTTCTCCGTCAAGAAAACTGCTGCAACGGCGCCATCGATGTGGCCACTTCATCAACAGAATACGTGGCCCGGGCTGCCAGCATGACTAGTTTAGTTTCTTTTTGGCATTGCCGATTGGCGCTCATGCACATGCTGCGCAGCAGATGCACGGAAGTGAGGTATTAAAGCGCAGGTGCATCATCCAAGATGCCGCGCTTGCTCAGGCGCCGATGTACTTCGTACGAAGCCGACAGCGCAGGACCGAGCTTTTTATAGAAAATCAGTATCGCGGAGTATTGCCATGTCACCATAGGCCGGTTCTCTGGAGGGCCCTTGGGAGTTGGACTTTGTCAGATGTTGTGGCACAAACTGCTACACGTGTCATGCCTGTTTGCAGCCGAGATTCTTTTGAGCTCCCTCGTATGCTCCGAAGAAGATGAAGCCTCCAATCGTGATCCAACTAACGCGGGGCCCGATCCCCCTGAAGAGTCCTGACAATAAGTCGGTGCATGCAGGAATGCCACCACCATCTGGATTAGCATTCATTCGCTCAAACAGCAATCTACTTGTTCACGTCCTGGAATGCCCTCCTCTGCTGCAATAACTCTGAGAGTCTGCATAGTGCCATCGTACTTTCGAGCAGCCTCAAGGAAACAATGGCCAGAAGCATGAAGTAGGTAAATTTTGGGCAGACGAAACGTGTCGGACGCATACTGAGCTCTTCACACCCTCTTCCACCTTCTCTAGCATGATTCGGGTTTTCGCCACATCGAGGGGAGTGGTGGTGCCTAGGCTGCGAAACTTGACCTCAACATACTATCATGACATGTTAGGACTAAGGTGCTCCTGCCAAGCTTCTGGATTCACTCTACAGAAAGCGGTTTCTTTCTTCGAGATCTGCACAAAGCCGAGTGTTGCTTTCAAGCGGCCACCAGCTATGCCACCAGCTAGCGAGCCACAGGCTGCACCTTCGCAAAGCCATGGTATGCTCAAACTAGGAGTCTGGCACACGGAGCTGTGGCCTTGAATGGCACTTGTCTCGCTGCCTTGCCTCTCAGCTATTATCTTCTTGAACCTGCACTGGAATGGAACATCGCCGCTGGATAGCTACGGAAAGAAGCGGACTGTCGCCCGCGGACCTCTCATAGAGTGGAAACTGGATGAACGAGAAAGGGATCTCTCGCATGACCTGGGCACGCCAGGCGAGGCTAACTCAAAGCCTAATTCCGCAAGGAGCCGGAGCAGCTGAGGCACCATTGTCCCATAGCCTACATAGAAAGCTCCGAGACCTCCGGTTCTGTAAATGGCGGCAATGGCTTCGGTAAGCCTCCTTGGCGGATGTCGTGTCAGAGACAATGACGGGCCCCAGATCAATGCTTGGTTCTGGCCAGGCTCGTATACCTGCCGACTTGCATGTTCTGAGTGATGTTGGCCGTCGGCACCTCGGGTCGAGCACAACCTTTCGCGTGGAGATCCATGGAATGGCATGCGCTGGTTTCAACGGGTTTGCCTCATGCCTGGTCAGAAGACATGCGCTGCATTTCCCTGCCTGAGAAAGTATATCCTGAATGATAGGGAATTGTGGAGTCTCACGGCCTACATTTGAAGTTCATAATGCAGACCCTGCAGCCTATACTTTGAGAAAGATCTTTACTCAGTGCGGACAGCCAGAGGCATCCAGCCTATGTGCCCGCTATCACTCTGCGAATGCTCATCGGCTACTTGCAGCAAAGTTACCCTGACCAGACAAGCCATGGCTTCTCCGCATGATGACGCGCCGGCATGTTGAGTCCAGTGCTCCTGCCGGCTAGGCACATGCCGAATGTATGTAGTGACTTCGATGCACACGATCCAAAACCTCATTACGTCTCGGACACATGGGACCTGGTTCCCGGAAAAGTTCTTGGACACCTGCAGCACCCGGGCTGCATGTCTTCACTAGTTTCTGAGAAGAATCTCGTATGGGACCGACCTTCTTCATGGTCTCGTATGTGGAGAAGAACATGGCAGCGCCAGGTGCAGATCCGATGGCAGCGGAGAGAATACCCTTGTAGGCTCCGCGAAAGCCTCCTGAACAGCCAGGCTGAGGTCGGCCGCATGAAGCTCAGGATTGTATAGCAAACGAACGGGGTATACACAGTCAGAAACAGTAATTACTGCGTGTACATATAGATCTATATACATATGTATATATGCATGCATACATACATACTCGTACATACCATACACACACAGAGGCACGCGCACGCTTATGACATCACGCTCTCGCATGCTTCGCTTGTAAGTGTGAAGATGGCCAGGCCTGAGGCCCAGAATCCCTTTTCTGACTGGAGCCGAGTTCGGAAGGTGTCCAGAGGGTGCAGTGCGCAGTCCACAGTCGTACCCGCGACTCCACCAGCAATCAATGCCTCCGCAAGGGTGCTTGTCGAGGCGAGTCAGAAGGCTAGAAGGTTCGGGGTCTGACAGCACTGTCGTGACGAGCTGCTAGCGTAAAGGGAACGCCGTCATCTTCCGCCATGCTGCAGCTTCTGCGGCCAAAACTACGGGACGACCAGCTGGAGCCCCAAAACTGAGCATCCGGACGGAAAGACTCTGAGCCCTCGTGCAGACCAACAGTCAAGGGGTCGCACTGCATGCAAAACCTGATCCCGCAGTGCGCACTACCTGCCTTTCTGCACAGAGGAATGAGTATGAGTCGGCTCGCCGTCTGTGGTCGCGGTGGTGCGATCACAGGCGCCTTCATCGCAGGCGTGCGCTTCGTGTGGCTGATCCCAGGAAGTGTAATCTTGTGACCCCGGCTGGTGCAAAGCCGTGCTCTGCAAACGTGGCTTCCTGCAGCAACCGCAGGCGAGAACAACTCTCTCATTGCCTCCCTGCAGCGGTGAAGGCCTGGCGCCTGGCCTCATCAGGATGAGCAGTCTGCTTCGAGTGGAACCTCAGCTCTGCAACGATGGAAGAAAGGGAGCTACCGAGCTACCAGTCAGAGATGACTCCGAGCCACTCTGAGGTGGCGCAGTCCTCTGGTGGCGGCGGGGGCGGGGGCGGAGGCGGTGGCTCCATGGTGCCTTTGCTGGGCGCGTATCACACAACGCAGCTGTGCATGCACTGCGGATGCGTCAGTGCCCGGCCCAACGTTCCACCGTCGTCGGCTCATGTCGCGAGCCTAAACGGCCTCGAGTCTTTCATCTGCCGTCTAATCCTGCGGAATGCCCACCCTTTCGTTCCGGGCAAATGGGATGTGTCTACATTCTGACACCAATATCGCAGCATCCAACGAAGGAGTACCTGGCACGATCCCAACAGTACGATTGACTTCGGTTTGATGTGCTGACCACGAAATGAGCTTGCATCATGTTCCTAGCTACCCCTGCTCATGCAAGACTAGCAACCAGCTGTTCGAAGTCACCCATCTATGCGTCTTGCTCAACAGTGGAGCTTGCAGCAAAATTCCATTGACATCCGCGAGAGCCGCCCGACGAACTTTGAGGGGAAGGTGAGAGGCACGCCGGAGGACACGTGACAACCCGAGACCTAGGCCAAAGCCAACAAAGTCCAGAAGGCTCGGTGTAGTACAACTACGCATCACTGGAATCCGGCCACCGGCAACTCTTTTCTGGAACGCACGCACGAGCCAGGCAACGACTGCTGGAGCCGTTGCCGGATGGCAAGCATCAGCACTTTGCAGGCACTGTCTTCGTAGCAGTCAGTTTAAGTTTTGTCAGTGCTGGGCTGGAACATATAAGTCATACATGTATAAGCATGAAACCCCAAAGCCAAACATAATATCAGTCTGACTACATCCTGTTGCGGAGAACTCGGCTGCGGCTCGACCGACTCAGAAAACTGCAAATCGCCCTTGGCGAGGCATGGACCTGGCAATATGCTTCAGGCTTGATTAGGCATGTAAACACTTTCGTACATATTTCTATATGATCTAAATGTAAGGACTGCATTTGCATGTGCAGGACGGTATGCGTGAGTACATTTTGCATCGACGACGGTGTCATGAAACTGAATGCAAGGCGGCGGAATACACTTCAAAAAGGAGCCGGCATCGTGTTAAGGGCCATCGTGATGGCTTATATAGTCGTGGTGTTAATCTCATGCTCTGACTGTCATTCTGAGCGTGGCCATCATCATGTTATTCTTGTCATTCGTGATCTTCCGTACAGCTACTGCCGCTTCCACTAAAGCCACCGCACGAGATTGATTCATATCTACCGTCCGTGGAAGGGGATATACCGAACATGAACTGCAAGCACTTTTACTGTTCAAGCGCCAGAATGGACCAGCCTGCGCTTTCTCAGGTCTTGTGAGGCTGCGCTATGCTTCGCTCGAAAAGCCAGAAAATCTTTACATGCTCCTCGGAAAAAGGCTAATTGGTCCCGTGAGAAGATATTTGGGGATCCTGCTTGCACATGCAGCTCGCTTCGAAGCCACAAGAGCCATCCCAAGTGTTGTCAGCACTGGACCAAGCCATCTCTGGACGGTTGTGGGACAAACTCAAAAACATCCAGCCGGATGTCCAACTCTTTCAAATCATGTGGAATTAAGGCAATCAGCCGAGCTATCATGTCATCAGACATCTGCTTCAAATTGCTGTGGCACCGCTGCTCAATGTGGTTTCGCAAGTCATCGTAGGATGCAGGCCGGGTAATCCTCAGCACTGCGGTTGGCTTGGAAGCTGCAGAGGCACCACCATCCTTCTCAAATCCGACCGAGTAGTAGAGTCGATTGAACTCCTGCACCAGTGTATGTACACACACACTCTCTCACTCACTCAC